AGTCTTGTTCTAACAAACTGGGAAGTCCCCTATTTTGAGTGAAGGGCCAACTTTTTTCTAATTTGCACAGAGATCCGTGGACTGGTTGTGGTTCTGTTGGCATGGATCCGGGAGAGGGCAAAACTAGAAGTGGAAAACCATTGAGACAGCTGATCTGGGCTAGAAGAGGTCCTTGAACAAGAAAAGAGATTCTTAACCCAAGCAATGGTAGGAGACTTGGAGGAGAGGGGCAAAGGCATAGCAGGTGGTGCCTGGGATGAGGTAAAAAAGGAAGATAGAGGAGAGCACATGATCCCAGTTGTCTGGATGGAGCAGCGGGTGGAGGGAGGTTCCCATAACAATGGGAGAGGTTTGGGGAAGGCTTTAATGATTTTTATTTAGGGACTTGAATGATCTGTGGCACTTCCAGGTGAGGCTGTACAGGTGATACAGGAAACTCCCCTTTATTATCCCCAGTGAGGAACCATACGATTTAACTGGTAGTTTCAGGGATTGGATTGTTGTTGTTGTTGTTGTTGTTGTTGTTGTTATGTGCTGTCAAGTCTAGTATAACCCATAGCAACCCAATGAACAACAGATCTGAACCCCGTCCTATCCTGTGCCATCCTCACACTTCCTGACACACTAGAGCCCATTGTGTCAGTCACCGTGTCAGCCACATGTCAGTCCACCTTGTCGAGGGTCTTCCTCTCCTTCACCGACCCTCCACCCTTCCAAGCATGATATCCCTCTCCAAGGAATAGCCTCTCCTAGCAACATGTCTGAAGTATGTGAGGCGAAGCCTCATCACCCTTGCCTACAAGGAGCACTCTGGCTACACCCTCTCCTAAATATATGTTTATCCCTTTGGCCGTCCATGGGGTGGGTGTTTAGTGCTCTTCTCTAACACCCCAACTCAAAGGCATCATTTCTTCTGTCATTCTTACTCATTGGATTAGTGCCCCAAAACACACGTATATATGATCAAATATTGAAACTATACGATAATCTCCCATGATCTGATAAACCCAGTAGTTGTAAAAGGATAAAGGATGGCCTTCAGGACCCCTTAATCCCATCACATCCCTGACCTCATGTGAAGGGAGTTTCCCTAGGGTGTGGCCTGTAGCCCCTTCTGTTTCACCAGAGGTGAAAGGGAAGAGCAGCAGACGGAGAGGGGAGATCTCAGCGGCACCAAAAAACCATCGCTGGAAGTAGAGTGCACCTCTTCGGACCTTGGCTCCTAAGCAAGGAAGCTCCTTGCCACCAGGGAAGACCAAGACACAGAGAGATCTCCAAGGAACGCCAGGGTTACAGACGCTAAAAGAGTAAAGACCTCCTACAGAACCAACTGTGAGATGTCAGGATTTCCCTTAGAGCTGATGCCTTGAACTTGGACTTCTAGCCTCTTAAACTACAGGAGAGTCAATTTCTGTTTGTTAAAGCCATGTCTCTATTCTAGCAGTTCTATATAGCTGAGGTTCCTAGAATCGTAAAGCAAAGTTATTTGTGAAAGCCTCAGAGCTACTTTTTTTTTCCCCTTCCTGGATGGGTATCCTTTTTTAGAAGGGAAAAAAAACTTGCACAAACACACAGCAGCCAGATTCTCTAACACAGTATTCATTCTGAATACTCTTCTTCTGTCCCCACATGGACAGTAGTAGTTTAGTGGTAGAATTCTCTTCCCTGAGAAACCCAGGTTCGATTCTTGGCTTGTGCGCTTTGAACACAGCCACCACCTGTCTGGCAGTGGTGACTTGCATATTGCTAAAATGTTATGTTTCCACAGAACTTCCAGACCAAGCAGGACTAGGGAAGAGGTCTAGCCATCTGCTTCTGGAATCAGCCAGTGAGAGCTCCATGGATCTGTAAGGACCATGGAGATGGTATATGGCTTTGCTTCATTATGCATGGGGTCGCCATGCATCAGGGGTCTACTTAAAAACAACATTGTCCCAATGAATGTTCTCATGCGTCTCAAACTGCATTTTCCCAATTGTGATTCAGAAAATATAATCCCTTTATAAATGAGTCTCTGCTAGTAATAGTGGAAGTGGAATTCCCTTCCCTGTTTTCTTTTTAAAATGAAAACACAACATTTATTGCTTAAAAGCCTTAAAAAAGATGATGTGAGAATAAATTTACAGTGATTTAGCACTTTTCATTATGGAAACACTATATAAATATTTAACGGTAGTGTTTCTTTTCTTCTATTTTTTTTTTGTTAATTACATTTGCTTAGTTAACATCGCATACTCATGCCAAGTGTTTATTATTATTACCATTTTGCGAATTATGGTAATTTCGTGTGCTTTTTTATTTGAAATTAGAATGATTGTAAAGACTTGTGTGGAATCGCCTGTTAATTTTAATGCTTAGTATTTATGTCATTGTACTGGCAGATCCCCTTGAAAACACACACACACATAATTCCCTCATGCAAACACACACATACACTCACGCACACTCGAATTTTTCTGTATTTTCAGTTTGACAGTATGTTGGCACATTGACTGCAGCTGTCTAAGGGAATTTTTTTTCTTGAGGCTCATTTTGAAGGCAGCCAAATTTGATTTAGCAAAAGATTCTTCTAAAATTGAGGAAGAAAGAAATATAAAATAAGGCAGAGGAGGAATGGGAAAGAGATACAAATAGTAAAAACCAATCCTGAGCAAGATTCCACTGTAATGCCGACCAAAATCAAGTCAGAGCTCTGCTTAGATCCTGAAGGATATTTTTAAGACCCTGGTCTTTCTCCGCAGATCTCATGGATATCCTCATTAGGAATTCACTTTTGGGGTTATTTTCTCATCCTGTCAGTTACTCCCGTCCATTTTGCTTTGAGACAGGACCACATTGGAGCATCAGTGTGGGACGAAATGAAAGGGGAAGTGGAAATTGTGACAGGGGTCCTAGTGAACACCAGTGACGGACTTTCCCCACATCACTATTCTCTTGAGAGAAGGCTTTGCTTTGTGTAGACTGAAAAGAAACCCAGGCCCTGTAGTCAGATTCTTGTTTTTTTTTTAAACAAAAGGCAAGGTATGTTTATTTAGATTAAGTCATTCAGTTGCCTGATTCAATGTGACTTAAGACCTTGAAGAAAGTATCTTTTCCTTTACTCCACTCCAAGTTCCAAGGTTGGAGCCTAGCGTGGCAGGAATACTTTTTAGGGCCCGTTCACAAGTTTACAAGTTTCTCGTTGAGGGCAATCTGTAACTATGTGAGATTAGCCAAGGTGGTCACCATCAGCAGGTCATTGATACTGCTGTTGAGCATGGTCTTAACGTCATCAGGAACAATTTTAGGTACTTGGTTGACCAGATTCATCAAGAAGTGGCCCACAGTATTGTCAGCTGACACTTTTCCAGACAGTACATCTTCAGCATATGACAATACTGTGCTCAGGGCATCCTGGATGCGGCCTGATGCTCCACCAACCTGCTGCCAGTCACTTGAGAGTCCAATCACCCGTCTGGGGTTAAAACAGGTCTTCATAAAGAGGTCAACTTCGATGCGTTCGGTGTCATAATAGGCATATCTCACTGTCAAAGGTGTGAACATCCCTCCCATAGTCCTTCCAGGGACACCCACTAAAGTGCTGACACAGGCCTTGATGCCCATGCGGCCATTCTGGAGGCTGGTGTCCACAGTGAGGTGAATGGGGTTGGGGGCCTCTCGGCTATAGTACTCATGAATCAGTCCAGAATGATGCCAGCTCTGTGATGGCATGGCCTGTAGCGTACCAGCCTAGGATGAGTTCATTTGGAGAGACTTTCTTGTGTAACTCATACATGTTCTTAGCAAATTCCATGTCAACAGCCACCTCATCTGCAGACTCATTGTGAGGCACTGAAAAGCAATCTGTAACTTCCACTCAGTGCTTGTCCACAGTTCCCAGCAAAGTCCCGATAACTCGGGCAGTGCCCTCATTGCGTCGCTCATAGCTGTCCACGATGGAGGCTGAAATGACTGGGTGTAGATGGTCCACGCGGCCACCAGGGAAGGGCCCAGGAAGGGCCCAGGGAGAGCCCTGCAGGGTGGCAGCGGCAACGGGGTCTGCACTGGGGCTTGCACTGCGGCCGAGGTCTGCCCTAAGTCGGCCTGAGCCGGCTGGGGCGTTCGGGTCCGAGGGCAAGGCAGGCCGAGGGTTAGACAGGAGCCGAGGTGGGGGCTGGAGCCAGAGCGGGGACTGAGGTTGGAACAGGAGCCGCAGCAGGTGCTGGGGCTGGAGTGGCAGCAGGAGCACTCATGGGTGGACTTGGCATGGCCATCTTGCCGAAAGAAAGACTATAGTCAGATTCTTAATTGATCAGAATTAACGTCCCAGTGACAGTGGCAAAAGGAATGTGGGGAAGGCAGTCCAAGTTAGCCAACAGACTCCACGTTCCCAGTAGATTCAGGTTCTGTCTTAGTTTTAACTAGTGCTGTTATAACAGAAGTATCACAAGAGGACGGTTTTAACAAACAAAACTCTTTTCTCATAATTTAAGAGGCCAGAAATTCAAGTTCAAGATACTAGCTCTAGGGGTAGACTTTGTCCTCAGCTCCAGAGGAAGATCCTTATCTCCTTCTGCCTCTGTAGACTTGGCCTTCCCGTGTCTCCTGGTTCCAGGAGTCATAGATCAGGTCTTGTTGAAATAGCTTCCTTGTTTACTATGTGAGTTCTTTACCACTTCCTAAATTCTTTCCAAGGCCAGGCATCCCGGGCACACTCCTTCATTGCCATCCAGTTGAACATACTCATAGCTGACCCTCCAGCCAGTTTTCCGAGATTGTGAGTCCCTGGGGAGTAGTTTGCCCTGTCTTTCTCCCGAGCAGCCACAGGTGGATTTAAACTGCCAGAGAGGTGGTCTTTGAGTTAGCAGTGTGGTTGCCTGTGGGCCACACCACCTGGGTTCCCTACTCCAGGTACAAAAATTACAGATGCATACAAGTGATTTAACCTGAAGCTCATCTCTAAAGAAAGCTTCTCAGGCTTACATTCCATTGTGCCTATTAACCCTTCCTTGTATTTTCAGCGGAAATTCTGGAATTGGCTGGGAACGCCGCAAGGGACAACAAGAAGGCTAGGATAGCCCCCAGACACATCCTGCTGGCGGTCGCCAATGACGAGGAACTCAACCAGGTAAGTCTGAAGCCCAAGACTGGGTTCAGTTCCTTTGCTCAGTAAGCTTTCTACCTGGCGAGCCACAAGCCATTCCAATACATTTCTTTTTAAAAATCATTCAATATGAGAGAATAACCAGCCCTTCCAGCTGTATGACTCCGATCCGAACTAAAACCACCTCTGGTATCAATCCTGTTATACATCCCGAGTCTAACTCTTTTCCTTGTTCAATGTAAACTCTGTGTTGCCAGCAGAGAATCCAGCACACATGTTTTTTTCTTCTCTAGCGTTCTTTATACAAACTTTGTCATAATTTCTTTTGCTAGGGATCCTTCCTCAGCTATTGGAAGTGACACTATGTGCAGGTCACGTCAGGGGTCTTCAGAGCAGAGCATGTGCCCCGTCAAGGACATACAAGATGGCAGGCACATCCGATGAGGATGGTTATTCATCTAATCTCATTCTTCTCAAACCTTCCGTGGCGAATAACCGACTCTTATTACTTCTAATCCATCATGATCTGATCATTTTAAAAAGACAATAAAATTATTTACTAGAAAATTGAAAACATTTAGAAAATATAAGCCCCAGTGTTTTTGCATGAGTCACTTGATAAATGACAATTATATGCTGTACTCAGTTTCTACACTTCTCTTGTCACAGGCAGGTAACTACAGATGGACCAGCCCCACCTGGTGGTGTGCAGACCACACCTGGAACAGAGTTGCTTAAGAATATATAGCATGCATGTGTGCCCTGGGGGTGCAGTTAAGCACTCAGCTACCAGACTAATGGTTGGAGGTTTGGATCCATCCGGGAAGTTATAAATCACACAGGAGGAAATTGCTCATCTTCCTCCCTCAGTACAGCTGATGGATTCGAACTGCCTACCTTCGGGTTTGCAGTGCAACTTCTTACCCACTAGACCACAAGAGCTGCCTGCTATTAGGTAAAGCAGCTTTAAAAATCCAGTTTGAGTTCAAGATAAGTGTCATGGCTTTGAAATGGAGTTGAAGCTTCCCTTCTAGATTACCCTATTTACCACACGCAGCACATGCCTTTGGTTTTAGCTTCTCATACAGTCTCAACACCAGCTGGCTTTTTGGTTTATTCATATGTGTAGATTATTAATTTACAAGTCAATAGCCATGTCCCAATTTTACTGATGAGATGCATGCTCAAAAAGTGTGCAGACCGTTGGTCTGTGCTTAACTGGGTTTTGTCCTTGCCTTGACCTTGAACTTAATCTTTGTCAAGCTGATGCCCCGTGTGCACACTCTTTATCCCCTGTTGTGCCTGGAATCCCAGAGCCCTGGGCCACAGCCCCCGTGTCTTTTCATTTCGCTTTGCTTTGGTTTGCTTTCTGTGCAGGGTCACAGGATGCCTTGATGCCTTCAGAGAAAAGCTGTCCAAGGGAGTGAGGGGCGGGCCACTGAAATTATGTATCACACCGTTTCTTTAGGAAACCAGAGACCAGACTTCAGGCTTGTTTTGCCAGCAGTTGGCATTGTATTAAATGCAGAACTAGACAATGCTTTGCTGTAAGAGCTCACACATTTTTCTCTCTCTCTAGCTGCTGAAAGGAGTGACCATCGCCAGTGGAGGCGTCCTGCCCAGAATCCATCCAGAACTGCTGGCCAAAAAGCGGGGGGCCAAAGGCAAGTCTGAAACCATCCTCTCCCCTCCCCCAGAGAAGAGAGGAAGAAAATCTACATCAGGCAAGAAAGGGGGCAAGAAATCCAAGGCGGCCAAGCCACGGACATCCAAAAAGGTGAGCCAGGGCCACGTCTACGAGCCAGGGACTCCTTTGGATCGAGATGAAAGTTCAGGATCAAAAGATGAGGGTGTAACCCACTGAGGACGTCCTGCAGCTTGATACTGGGAGAGAATGCTGAGAATGTACATGGAAGATAAATATTTGAGACAGAATGTCCTTTCTCAAACCGAATCTACTAGACCTTTCCAAACCCAAATACTGGCTGATTGTCGGGGTTCCAGAACCCCTGCCCTGCTCCCATCAAAGACTTCAAATGAGAGACATCACCAGGACCCCACGTTTTCATTTCTCTACAGAACTCCATGTTGCACCCTAAAAAAATCTCTGATCTCCCATGAGAGTCTCTTTTGTTCAGCTCCTGTGATTTCACGTGTTTGGGATCGTTTGACAGACTAAGTAGCTAAATGCAAAGATTCTATTAGCCCGTGGGCGAATACTGTCTAGTACCCTTGAGAAAAGACCAATTGGGAAAGGTCAGGGAAAGAGAAGAAAACCTTGAACAGGATAGACTGACAGTGACTGCAGCAAAGTGAGGTCGAGATGATGGCATGGGACATCTGATGCCATGGGGATCTGACGACATGCGGATCTGTTTCTCGACATGAGGATCTGTTTCTCATAGGACCACCATAAGTCATAGTTAATGTGACAACCCCTAACAACAGCTGTCTGGTATGATAACCACTAGTCACATGTGACTATTTTAATTTGAATTAAAATTAAGTCAAATTTAAAATCCATCTCTGATCACACTAGCTGTGTTTCAAAGCCTCAGCAGCAGTGGGCAGTGCAGACAGAACTTCTCCATGATGACAGAAAATGCTAATGGGCATTGCCTTAAAGGGTATCCGTTTTCATTCTGTAGGCCTCGTGATGATGCAAAAGCTCGTATGCACTGACCACACTACCTCTCCTGGACCCCAGGGAAACCCTGAGAAGGAGGGAGGGTGGACAGTACACCGTGCACCCCACTTGGTTCTGATGGATGGCATTATGAACTCCAGACTCTGGGAAAAAAGCAAATATATATGTATGTAGGTTTGAGTGAAGTCTGCATGTACCTGTGAGCACCTTGAGCACACTTTGTTTCTTAGAGCAGCGTTGGCTTTTCCTCATGGCTGTCCTTTGCTACTCTTGGTGGAGAAATTACAGTTGTTGTTGTTGTTGTTCAAGTCAGAACCAACTCATAGCTGACTCTTCAGTGAGTTTTCAGAGGCAGTTGAATTGTGCGTGGGGAGATCACCCACTCTTTTTCCTGCAGAGCAGCTAGTGGATTTGAACCACATGCCTTTGGGATTGCAGTGCAGCTTCTTACCCCTAGGCCACCAGAGCTCCCTTGGTTGAGAAATAGTAGAGTCTAATAATCCTTCAAGCCTGGTTCAAATTGCTTTTTTGTGAAACATTCTTGTAGGTGGTATTGTTTTTTGTGAAACATTCTTGTAGGTGGTCTAGCACTGGTCTGTGTATTACTGTACAGAGGTAACTAACTCCCTGTTGCTGTGATGCTGAACACTGTGACACTGATGTGCCAAATGTGATAATGGTTACCCATAGTGGACAGTGTTTGATGGAGCTTCCCGATTAAAATAAGCTTAGAAGAAGGAGTGGCATCCACTTCCAAAATGGCTTGCCTCCGAAAACTCTATGAACAGTGCTCAGGTCTTCCATTCATAGGGTTGCTGTGAGTCACGATGGCACCTAACAACAACAACATGTTCCTTGTATGTCCAAGTTGGTAGCAGTCCTAAGATGAGCTTTATAATACCACTTATGGTGTTTTCTGGATTGTTCTCCATCTGACCTTCTGATTTCTACCAACAGTCTAAACAAAAGGATGGTGATAAAGAAGGTACTTCAAATTCCACCTCTGAAGACGGCCCAGGGGATGGATTCACCATCTTGTCTTCTAAGAGCCTTGTTCTAGGACAGAAGGTAATAAAGAGAATTACAATGCACTGTAGTAAAACATTATTACCTTTTTATAACCCACTGTTGACAAGCAATGATGCTTCCTTCATGCTTTGCTTCTCCAATACAGCTTTCGCACTGTCCGTGAATTATTCATTTTAAACTGAAGAACTATGGTAGTTTCTACAGCACAAGCATGAACAGGCTTCTTCATGTTGGGAACTGGTAATGCTGACGTCGTTGGTCAGTAGATAGAATAGTATTCATGAGTTTTCTAGGAATTCCCCAAGCCCAACTTATTTCTGTGCCCTCCAAATAAATCCAGAGCCAACTTTCTCATAGTGCCTTTGAGAGGCCTGGCTTATGTGGTTTGATGTCATTTATCAAAGAAAGAAAATAGGAATATATGTTTTCTGTCTATCCCTGATGTTAGAAATGAATTATTTGCCAATAATTCAGTCTGCTCCCCTTTCTCAAACTGCAGAAAGAAAACAAACATAGCTATACATTTCAACAGTCCTCTGCTGCACAAGAGCAGCCCAGCCAGACATGCAAATAATTCATTTCCCCAAATGTAAAGTCTACAGAGCAGACAATTTATCTGCCAAGCCAACTGGAGCTGAAACAAAATACACAAGGATGCAGTCAGTTAATCATATCCCTGGTAGCTGGATGTATGCAGCCTAACGAGAGTAGGGCTCTCCACTTAAGCAATTGGGATGAGCATATCATAAGGGCATATGGCAGGTTCCCAATTCATCTCTGAAGAACGTGAGGAAGCAAAGAGGCAGGATTTATGTCCTCTCTAGGGGCTCTCCAGGAGAGCCCCTCAATAGTGCTGGGAGCTAACTGCCAATGGAAAGACGGGAGACTTGATCCAACCAAAGACCTGACAATCCACTTCCAATAAAAGCAGCCAGTAAGAAGCTGAGAAACCAGTTGTCCTCTGATTACATGGGCCCACTACCAGTCAGAACTGACTCAACAGCAGCTGATTTAGGGGCTCTCCAGGCTTAGAAAAGCTCTCTTTCTCTTATTTAGGGGGACCCAAAGTCCTTGCACACTTGGTTAGTGTCCTCTGCTCCACTGGGCTGTGAACACATAGCGTATCATTTTACAGATGTAGCCTCAGTTATATGCACACCAAAAGCAAAGTGGCTGGGCCTTGCAGGTCAAACTCCCAGAGCCTCCATCACTTGTTTCCATCAAGGTTATTGTCTTCTCAGCGCTGCCTCAGAAGACTGGTGCTATTTGAGAAGAGAGACAAAACCCTGGGCTGTGCTTGCAGGAGCTGCTGAGGACGTGTCACCAAAACTAGGGTCCCATGGATTAGGGAACAAAGGCACAAGATAGAGGAAGACAAAGAGTAAGGGAGGTCCCACTCTTGTTCCTGGCTGATTTGATGTATGCTCATCCCAAAAAGAAGATCGAGTCCACTTAGCTCCAGTGGATCTACTGAGCCTTTGCTCCGTAGGCAGCCTCTTCCCACTGGCGTTCAGTATAAATAATAAAGAGGATTCATGGAGAGACGAGGGAAATAGGAAGATCTTCATTGGGGTTTGATCTCTCCCAATTCTCCATCCTTTCTCCTTGCAGCTGTCCCTGACTCAGAGTGACATCAGCCATATTGGCTCCATGAGAGTGGAAGGCATCGTCCATCCCACCACAGCTGAAATTGACCTCAAGGAAGACATAGGTAAGACCCTGGGATGTCAGCAAATGTGCAAGAGAACAATCTGATGTTCAGTTCTTGGGAAGTTGGCGTCTTTGTGATCCAGTTCTTTGATACCAGAGATACAGATGGCTTTAACAAACAGAAACTTATTCTCTTATTATAAGTTAGGAAGCTAGAAGTCCAAATTCAGGGTACCAGCTCTAAAAGAAGACCCTCTCTTTCTCTGTTGAGTCTGGAAAAAGGTCTTGTTTACTACAGCATCTGTAGACCTGGCAATCTTTGGAGATCTCCTGGTGGCCAGGTGTGGCCAGGTGTCCTTCTCTGGTGTCAAGGAGCTTGTTGGCACAGAGACCTCAGTCCAAAAAGATGCGTTCCACTCCTGCCAGTTCTTTCTTGGTGGTACTAAGCTCCCCCTTCTCACTGTACTTTCCTCTTTTATCTCTTACGAGACAAGAGGTGTTATGGACCATACCCTAGGGAACCTCATTTATAGTAGATCAGGGTTGTGATGTCATTAAGGGAGCTCTGGTGGCCTAATGGCAAGAAACTATACTGCAGTCCCAGAGGTAGGCGGTTCGAATCCACCAGATGGCTCTGCTGGAGAAGGAGGGCCAGTCTCCTCCTGTACCAGTCAGATCTGATTTGATGGTACACATACAAAAAAAAATAATAAAATTTTAAAAAAAATTTTTTTAAAAAGAAGGCATTTTATTCCACCCTTCATCCTCTTAAAGCTATTCGACTTATCAGATCATGAGAGATCATGGCACAGACTCTACTTCCTGTCATTACATGTACGTATTGGGGGGACACTGTTTCATCCACAAGTCAGTCACTGTCAGCCTGATCTGGACTTTGAGTGCTGTGTCAAATCCTTTGTCTTTGTATGTAATTGAACAGCTTTACTAGACAGTAACTCATGTTTTAATTCTTTAATGCATATTTTTTTACATTTTTCATTTAATGCATATTTTTTTGCATTTCTAACTGAAATAGTAAATAAAACAGAAACCTGCACCACAGATCATTGCAGCTAAAGGAACTTCTTTCGTGAACTCACCTGCGCAGCGAGCATCCCTAGCTCAGGGGGCAGAGCCTTGTCAGCATCCCAGCGGTGGCCCCTGTCCCCATTCGGGTCCCTCTCCCTTCCAAGGATAACCATTATCCTCTCTCCTAACAGCAGAGATGGCTTGTTCCAATTTTGTATAAATGAAGTCATGGTGATTCCTTTGTGTCTAACTTCTTTTTCTCAACATTGCATTTGTGGAACGCATCCCTGCGGTTAAATGGGGCTGTTCATTCATCTTCTTAGTAGTGCAGGATCCTACCGTATGAATGTACCTCATTTATTGATCTATTCTACCACTGATGGCATTTGGATCATTTTCAGTTTGGGCTACAATGAATAGCACTGCTCTTAGTGTTCTTGTGCATGTCTTGGGGAAAAGACAATATACATGTTAAGTTTAAAGACTGGGAACACCATTGATTAAAAGGAAATTGGCATCTAGACAAAATTAGTTTATCTTCAAGGGCTCTGAACACAGATATTTAGCCAGAGGTGGCCATCTGCTCTGTGAGAGGCGTGGAGTACTGCTCGTACGCACGATGAAGATGCTTGGGAGGGTGGAGGATACACCATCATTAAAAGACCACCATCTCGTCCTTAAACTCTGAAAGGTCATGTAAGAAAGGGCTTTGTCCCGGGGGTGCAGGGCTATCTGACCCTAATTTGTAGCATCACAAACCCTAAGATTTCTGAGCCCACTATTGATTGAATCCCTTTTGACATCCATCTAACTCTGTCTAAAAGGAGATGCAGAAACACAGGCACAACCCAGCATTAAAGAGAAATGGGGCTTTCTTTACTCACAAACGGACCTTAAAGAGACCTTCTTCACCCTTTAAATCTACACCCTACCATCCCCCATCCATGCTCTCCTTCTGTAGAAAGATGCTTCCTAGTGATGACCTTAATATTTTTATTCTCTTTTTATTTAAAAAAAAAAAACAAGCCACACAACAAAGCCCAAACCCACAAAACCATTTTATTGTGGTTTTAGTGAAAGTCAGCAAAGCAAATTCATTTCTTATTCAATAAGTTCTACACGTTTTACAATATTAGTTGCAATCCCTTCAAGGTAGCAGTTGCAATAGGTAACCTTGAAATAGGTTACTGCAGAATCATTACAAACATACACAAAAAATAGCAGAAGAATGCAAGAAAACCCAGCACATCCATCACCCTGTGGAAAATACCATCACCCTATGACCAAGCTTATTCCCACTCTCCTCCCAAACACCACCTCCAGGTATCACACTGTTTTGTCTGTGAATGTTCCTGAACTATCTCCAAAGGATGACTATTCACAGCAATATAATCATAATGTTATTAATAAACTATAAGATATTAACAAGTTTTTACTTTCCTCAAATGGCCAGTGTTCTTATTCAAATTGCATGATATTCACTTAAAATTTGTTTTAAATATCCACTTTATCTTAAAATTTGTTTCTTTGACTCAGGATCCAAATAAATCTGTACACTGCATTTGGTTAAATCCTCTAAGCCTCTGGTAACCCCTCACTCTGTTCTCTCTTTCTCACTCCCATTATTCCTCTCACATTATTTATCTCCTTTACATTTGGTTAAGAAAATTCACCATTTGTCCTGAAGAATGTCCCACAGTCTGGATTTTGTTAATTTCATGCTCCTGGTGTTAAGGATATTTCTTCTCTCCCTTTTCTTTTCTTAATAAATTAGTTGAATCCAAGCCTTAATGAGATTCAAGTTTAAAAAGTTCACACAGAGAATCAGATTCCTGTTTAACAATGTCTGCACCTCTTGTTCAGTGGCATTGGTTACATTCTTCACAACCTGTCAGCATTCTCATTATTTCCATCCAGGTTGTTTCATTTCCATTAATCTAGCTTCCCCTCTCATCCCTGCCCACTCCCAAGCATGCCTTTCCATTTAGTGTGACCATTTGGTTGACCATTCAGTCTCATTATACTTGTTTTGTTTTTTATCTTTAAGAACATGGTGACAATGTTTATTATGAGTTCATCTGTTGTTTAACTGAAAGGTGACTTCTTTCAGTGGTTTCTGTTCCAGGTTTAAAGGATGTCTCTGAGTGATAAGCTTAGGGGCTCCTCTGGTCTCTACTAGTTCAGTAAATCTAGTCTGTTTTTAAGAATTTGAGTTTCATTCTGTCTTTGTCTCTCATTCTACCCAGGACCCTCTGTTGTATACCAGATCACAGAGTTTGGTAGTGGTAATTGTACATGATCTAGTTCTGCTTTCAGGATCGATGAGAATGTGGGGTGTTTTTTTTTTGTTGTTGTTTTTTTATTTATTTTGTGTGCGTGTACCGTCAAATCAGATCTGACTGGTACAGGAGGATATTGCGCCTCCTTCTCCGGCAGAGCATCTGGTGGATTCGAACCGTGTTCCTCTGGGATTGCAGTGCAGTTTCTTGCCACTAGGCCACCAGAGCTCCCCGAGAATGTGGTTTTTATGGACTGTTAGTCCATAGACTTTCTTCTTTGAGATTTGGTTTCCATCTTTCTCTCTTGTGCTTTGATCTTTAAATCCTTTGTGAAGAGGAGGCATCCTCTTGCCTTTCAGACTGCCATTTGATTGCTGACCTAAATGCAGAGTATGGAAATTAAGACCGAGTGCCTTGCTTCTCACAATTGGAGACTCCAACTAGCTTTGGTTACTGAACTCTCCCCAGATTATAGGACCAGCCAATGAAGTCTAGCCAGGAGTCTAAGAGCCGGACAGAGGCTTAGAGACCTGTGTTGTTGGACTTTGTCTGTGACTATTTCAGATATTCAGGTCACTTCCAGCAATCACCATTTCCAAATTGGAACCCATGCAGGCTAATGAAGAAGTCCCTTCCTTATTCCTCAAGTGGAGCGTGACTATTGGAGGAAACATTCTTCCTAACTGAGCTCCAGGAAATGGAACTCTCCAAATATCGTTATGTGTTTGAGTATGGAAGGGGGCACTCCTTTGCCCAGCTTCTAGGGAGCATGTGAACTGAATAATAACATGAAATAGGAACTTTGTAAAGACCCAGGCCTCTATATAATCAAATTAATTTGCAAATGATGACAGGTGAAGTGAAATACCTTCTCTCCCACCTGAGAGCCACTGTTACACTAGTCTGGAGAAAGCATCCACCTATCACCACCCATCAGAGAGAGGGGAGCACAGGGAGGGCCAGGCACACACAGGTGGGGTTCCTACAGAGGTGGAGGCCTGCCGTGTACAGGATGATCTGTATAGAGACAAAACCCTAGCGTTCTGAGAAAGGAATTGTCCTAACATCAGAGTCCAGAGTTCCCTGGAAGGTAGATGGTAGGAGATTAGCCCCTCAGATCTCCATAAGTTTCTCTTGAGTATTTCAAGCTGGGGAACAGTGTCTGTGCGTGTCCTGGGACCTCAAGGATTAAAAACTGGCAGTGGTACAAAGATGATAACAGGACTTCATCACCCTTAGCCCAGAGGTTCCTACTCACCCATCTACCGTGACCTCCTCTGTGGCTGCTTCTTCAAGGATAATTAAATTCACCTTAGTCAACCAGGAGCTGAGGACACGGGGCAGCCTTCTGAGATGTCCCAAGCATGGGATACAGCTTTGCAATCAACAGAACAATTTTTTTTAACCAGAACACCATGAGTACTTAATCTAAAAGACAAAATAGTGAAACCTGATTTTTTTTTTTTTAAAATTCTCTTCGAGACTGTGTCACTGTACATTGTAATGTTTTAGATGAAGGGATGATCAACTTGAAGCAATAGACAGACCATTTTTGTATTGCCATTAACAATCTGAAGCAGGACAAGCATAACTGATTAAATGGGAAGGGAGAAGGAAAGAGGCAAGGCGGGGGGAAGAGAATAAGGGAAGGTTTACCTACAGATAAAAAATTCAGGAAAGGGTGAGAAACAGAGCAGGGATTAGCAAATGGATAGGTAAGGGGAAAGGGAGTGAGGTTTTAATAGAACATTGTAGATAATGGCATTCTACAATGAAAATTAAAGTACTGGTATGAAATGAAATGTGGATGCGCATCCACATTTAAATGGAAGCCAATTATAGGAGAAAAGATTGTCATCAGACTGCTTTATGGCCAGAGCACTCCCTAAGAAGGTTCTAGAAGGTTTTTTAATCTAAATCTGACTGGACAGACACCCAGAAGTCCTGGCCACCAGTCATCTCTGGTATAGCAGGATTTTCACTGCAGTTTGAGTTCTAGTTTTTAAGGGTAAATTTGTTTTATTTTGTTCTTGACAATAAGGTGTGTGTCATACAACTGTAATTATGTTGATAAGAACAACTGCCCTAAGTTCCCATTGTTCTTCTCAGGTAAAGCCTTGGAAAAGGCTGGGGGAAAGGAGTTCTTGGAAACAGTAAAGGAACTCCGCAAATCCCAAGGCCCTTTGGAAGTCGCTGAAGGTAAGGAAGGCCTCACAGTCATTTTCTCTTCTCCAGCTTTCCATGCTTCGTGCACAGCCTGTTTGTAAAATCCAATGTGCTTCACCCAAATCACAATTAAAAAAATAAAAATAACAAAAATGTTTTAAAAATCCAGCACACCATAACTGACCAGGAAACGAGTTGCACATTTCTCACATTATGGGAACAGACCCACGTTGTTGTTTTTTTTAGATGACGGGGTTCCTGGATTGCTTCACAGCTTTAGAGGTCACACATCCAGAATAAAATCCACTCAGCTAAAACCAAGGTATTCTGCAGGATTACCTGCTCCTTCTGGAGCTCTGGGGAAGACCGGTGTCTTCCAGCTCCTAGAGCTGCCTGTCGTCCGTGGATCATGGCCTTTGTACTAAAATGCAAGTGCAGCATCTGAGTCTTTGCCTCACTCTGCTTTCTTGCCTTCCTTGTCTAAGGCCCTTAGTGGTTACATGTGGCATTCCCAGGTGGCACACAGAACCTCTGGTGGAACAGTGGTGTAAGTTCGTGGTTGCTAGCTGAAAGGTCGGCTGTTTCAAGCTTCCAGTTGCCTCACAAGAGGAAGAGGTGGCAGTCTACTTCTGAAAAGGTTACACAGCTATTGAGGCCTCTAAGATCACTCACTATGAGTTGGGATCTACTCCTTCAGTAGTGGGTGCGGTCTGGTTGTTTTGTTTAATTCTAAAACCCTTAAGCACCTACTACTCCCAAACAGATCTGTCTCGGAGAAGGTAAAGCCAGGTTGCCCCTTGGAGGCAAGGATGACGAAGCTTCATCTCATATATTTTGAGTGTGTTGCTCGGAGAATATTCCTTGAAGAGGGATATCATGTTTGGAAAGGTTGCGGGACAGCGAATGAGAGGAAGATCTTCAACCAGGTGGAATGACACAGTGACTTCACCTATGGGCTTGAGTGTGTCAGAGATTGTGTGGTTGGCGTAGGATAGAACAGGGTTCAGGTCTGCTATTCATAGGGTTGCTATGGGTCGTACTTGACTCGACACCTAACAATAACCATAGTCACTTCAGAAGAAACATCTAATGACCTCTTTCCAGAGGGTCACTCACAGCCCTGCCAAGTGCAGTTCTGCTCTGCTGCATGAGGTCACCATGAGGCTGGACTGATTCTTCAGCAAGTGGTTTGGTTTCTTCAGTTTGGTGAGAACATTTAGGGCTCCAGGACAATCTCTCCATCTCAAGATGTTTTATCTAATCATGTCTGCAAAATTCCCTTTGCCACGTAAGTGAGCATTGTTGCAGGTCTGGGGAGTAGGGGGACCAGTCACCATCCTGCTTCAGGTGATTCTCATGTGCCCCTATGACGAGGAACCACTTTGAGTAAGGTAGCATAGCTGAGTGGCAAATTGGCTCTTGGAGACAGACTCCAGTCAAGGAACATGCTGCCCTTTTCAGTATTAAACACTGTGCTGTGTGCTTAAAGCTTCTCTTTTATGGCTCCTGCCATCTGGTAATAATACCTCAGAATCCTCCTTAGAATCACAAGACAGTTTCCAGCCAAATTTCCCTATCCCGTGCTGTAAGGGCTGCCTCACCTCCATCACTTCCTGTGAGGATTGGCCTAATCTTCAAACTAAGGTGAAGATTTGGGAAATAACTTAGAGTGTTTCTCTTTCACATCCTAGCTGCTGTCAGCCAGTCCAGTGGCCTAGCTGCCAAATTTGTCATCCACTGTCACATCCCTCAGTGGGGCTCTGACAAATGTGAAGAACAACTTGAAGAGACCATCAAAAACTGCTTGTCAGCTGCAGAGGACAAGAAGCTAAAGTCTGTTGCATTCCCACCTTTTCCCAGTGGCAGGTAAGAAACACTTTGGAGTTTCTTCTTATAGCCTTCACCCAGGAAGCCAGTTGCCTCTTCAGTTATACATACCTATCCCTCGGGGCGTTCCAGAAGGCGGAGTCGGGAGTGGCCAGGACAGCCAAGCATGCTCATTAGATGACACAGAAGGAAGCCCAGACCCATCCTTCACACATAGAAACAGGCTCCCAGGTCTTAGAAGTAGGTCTTATGACTGAGGCTAGCTTCCTGCTTTCTTGATGTCAAAGCCCAGAGTAGAGGCAGCTTCAGAGAAAAGATGGGAGGCCCAGAAAAGTCAGAGGCAATGTAATACATTATTTTTGAGAGCTTCTCATATTCTAAATTTCAGTTCTTTCAGCTTGAGAAATGCCAAGTGAGTTTTTCCCTTTTTATTCTCCAGTTCCAGCTCTCTGCACATTGTTATAACACTTTGCTTTGTCTTCTCGAGTTGCCCCTTTGAAATCTTCTGTTCAACTCTTGCTTCAGCAAGTTATCCCTTGGTTTTGGTTTCTTGATGCTCTAGTGCAATTTTTAGTGTCTCTTATGACACGCATTTCAGTTTTTCTTTTCTTCTATCTTTTTAATGACCTTTTGCCTTCTTCATGGATGATATATCCTTGATGTTATCCCACAACTCATTTGGTCTTTGATCAGTGCTGTTCAATGCTTCAAACCTATTCTTAAGATGATTTCTAAATTCAAGTGGAATCGACACAAGATCATATTTTGGTTTTTGTGGACTTGTTTTCATTTCCTTTGGCCTCAATTTTAATTTGAACATGAATATTGAAGGATGAACAGTGAAAAGATTGAAATTATTAACAGCTTTAGTTTGCTCGGCTCCACAATCAACATTTTTAGTACCAGCAGCCAGGAAATCAAAAGACAAATTGCATCTCCAGAGTACTGAAGAGCAACGATGTCAGTCTGGAGACTAAGGTGCACCTGTTCCAGGCCATGGTCTTTGCAATCACTTGCTATGCATCAGAGGTCTGGACAATGACTAGAAGGAGAATTGATGCTTTTGAGCTATGGTGTTGGAGTATTTAATTACTAAAAGAACGAAGAGATTTGTCTTTGAGAGGGTGAAACCAGGCTGCTCCTTGGAAGCAAGGATTCTGAAGCTTTGTCTGACATACTTTGGGCATGTTGCAAGGAGGGACCAGACCTTGGAAAGGGGCATTATGCTTGGGAGGGTGGTGGGACAGCGCAAGAGGGGAAGACCGTCGATGAGATGGATTGAGTCAGTGACTAGAGTATTGAGGGTAGGTGTAGGTGTGTCGTAAACAGTAAGGTTAGCTCAGGATAAAGCACGGTTCAGAGCTATTGTACATAGTGTCGCTATGAGTTGCAGGTGACTCGACAGCACAAACAGCAACAACATGGGCAATATGTTGACTGATCCAGGAAGCATCAAAAGAAAACAACTATGAGATATCATCTCACTCTAGCAACAATAGCAGAGTTCAGCAGGAAAACAAGCAATAAATGCTGACAAAGCTGGAGAGACTGGAACTCTTATTCACTGGTGGTGAGAGTATAAAATGGGAAAGCCACTATGGAAGGCCATCTAGTGCTTTCTCCACAAGTTGGAAATAGACATACCAATTGACCCAGCAATTGCACTACTGGGAACATACCCTAAAGAGCCACGACTCAAACAGATGTATGAACACCCAGGTTTATTGCTGCGTTATTCATAATAGCAAAGCGATGGAAGTAACCCAAAGGCCCAACAACAAACGAATGGCTAGAAAAACTATAGTATGTTCACATAATGGAATATCATGCAGCATTAAAAAACAGTGAACTCATGAAACATTACACAGCATGAGGGAGCCTGGAGAACATAATGTTAAGTGAAATATCTCAGTCACAAAAGAATAAATACTACATAACAGTGCTGTTATAAAATAGGACAGACAGAGTGGAGGGCAGAGAATGGGGGGAAAGTGGATAGATAATGAACACTGCAGTAGAACCGATGAAGGGAAGAACTATCTGAAAGGAATATATGATTAGGCATTATACATATGACAACAATCTGGAACAAGGGATGGCATTGCTGGGTGGGCTGGGGAAGGAAGAGGGAAGGAGGGAAGAGAATGTGCAACAAAAGGAAAAAGTAGAAATATTAAAAAAAATAAAACAAGACAGAGGAAATACACTCTATCAAAAAGAATTGCTGACACTGGAAAATTTCAGGAAGTGCTGTATGAACAAGAGCCAGTAGTAATGAAGGAAGAAGTTGAAGCTTCACTGAAGGCATTGGCAAAAAATAAGGCCCCAGGAATTGATGAGTTACTGATTGACACGTTCCAAGTAAAGGATGCAGCCCTTGATGCTCTCAACAGTCTATGCCAGGAAATTTGGAGAACAGCTGTCTGGCTGACTAACTGGAAGAGATCCGTATTTGTTCCCATTCCGAAGAAAAATGGTCCAACAGAATATGGAAACAATCGAACAATATCATTAATATCACAGGCAAGCAAAATCCTGATGAAGATCACGTAAAAAATGGCTAGAATAGTACAAAGATTGGGAACTGCCAGAAGTTCAAGCAGGATTTAAAACAGATATATCATTGCTGCTATCAGATGCATCCTGGCTGAAAGCAAAGAATACCAGAAAAATGCTTATTTATGCTTTATTGACTATGCAAAGGCATTTGATTGTGTGGATTATAACAAGCTATGGCTAACATTGAGAAGAATGGGAATCCCAGAACACTTAATTGTGCTCATGAAAAACCTCTACCTAGACCAAGAGGCAAGTGTGAACAGGGCAAGGATACACGACATGGTTTAAAATTAAGAAAGGCATGGGTCAGAGATGTATCCTCTCTTCATACATATTCAATCTGTATGTGGAGCAAATTATTGGAGAAGCTGAGCTTTATGAAGAAAAATGTGGTATCGGGATCAGAGGGAAAGTCATCAACAGTCTGTGTTATGCAGATGACAAAACCTTGCTGGCTGAAAATGAGGACTTGAAGTACTTGCCACAGAAGATGAGAGAATATAGCCTTCAATATGGATTACATCTCAACATTAAGAAAACAAAAATTTTTATCACTGTACTGATAGGCAACATCATGATAGATGGAGAAAATATTAAAGTTGTCAACAGTTTAATATTTCTTGACTCCACAGTCAACACCCTTGGTGCTAGTAGACAGGCGATCGGGACATGTATTGCACTGGGAAAATCTGCAGTCAGGGACCTCTCCAAATTATTAAGGAGCAATGATGTCAGTTTGAAGACTCAGGCGCATCTGATTTAGGCCATGGTCTTCTGATCACTTGCTATGCAGCTGAGAGCTGGACGTTGAAGAAAGATGACAGAAGAATTGATCCCTTTGAGCTATGGTGTTGGAGAAGAAGAGTATTGAATATCCCATAGATTTCCAAAGGAACAAACAGATGTGTCTAAGAGAATGTGCAGCCAGTGTGCTCCTTGGAGGCAAAGATGACAAAGTTTCATCCTACATACTTTGGACATGTTGCTAGGAGAGGCTATTCTTTAGTCAGGGACATCATACTTGGAAAGGTGGAAGGACAGTGAAAGAGAGGAAGACCCTCAACCAGGTGGATTGACACAATGACTGCCAAAATGGACTTAAACGTGGCAGGAAGTGTGAGAGTGGCACAGGATAGGACAGGGTTCAGCTCTATTATTCATAGGGTCACTGTGGGTCATACTCAACTTGATGGCACCTAACATAACACACAAAATACACATCATGCTCTAAATAGTTCCTGGGTGGAACTTATTTAAAGGTTGGTGGTTCTTGGATGAAAGACCTGGAGACACCAACCTCATTAAGGTACCTGAGTAAATTACAACTCATAGCAACCTTATGAACAACAAATGGGAACTCCACCCTTTCCCATACCTTCCTCACAATATCCACCCTGATCAAGCCATTATTGCAGTTATACCTTGTAAAAAGAGCAAGGCCCATGTACGGACAGACTTAGCTGAACTCTGTTAACTCCACAAAGGCGAACTATCCCCATCAACAGCACCCAAACCAATTCACATGAAGTCAGACATATCCCCCTCACTCCTACACCTCTTTCTACTCATCTCAGCACCAATCTTACTGCTCTATCGGGTCCAAAATCTGCTGCAAGAGCTCACAGACCACACCAAACTATAGCAGGGAAATCAAAATGTGGTAGGTAACAGATACAATCATTCAGTGAGAACACCTTCCAAAATGTGTTCACAGGCACCTCAACCTTCAGCTTCACTACGACTTAAGTGTCACAAAGCTCTTAGTCCTGCCTGTTATGGCTGTCACCCCTCAGTCCTACAAAAACACTTAGGTTAAGGCCCTTTGCTCTTGTTCCATGGGGTAGAAGTCCACAAGGTCAGTTCTGCCTCATGGCAGGTCTCTGGTTCTCTGCTTCAACCATGGCTGCCACTGCTACAGGCCCTGAAAGACACACTACATTCTCTTGCTGCTTCTTGCTGGTGGTGAGATTCTCTAAATCTACCACTCAGTCTGCTCAGTTTAGTGGTAAGACTAGCCAGTCCTCTTGTGGATAGACTAACACACCCTATTCACATATTCCCACCCATCCACGTGACAAAGTCCAAGTCTGCGGCTAGAGAGAGATTTTGAACAATAAACCCTTAACACCACACCCCTGCTGTAGCTCTGAAATAGCAGCTTCGTTAAGATTATAGAGAAGGTCTCCTCAGTAACAAGTAGCACAAAGGGTCACCATCAGTCAAAACTCGCTCAATGGCAGTGATTTTGGGTTTTTATTTTGTTTTGTTCAGAGCTCAGGTTCCCATCAGCCGTTTCTGTATAGAACATACAGTCAGAAAACACCAGACCACTCAAAGCACGGCCTGCAGACTAGCAACAGAGACACTTGCTGAGTGCTTGTTAGAAATGCAGGATCTCAGGCCTCACCAACTTCCTGAATCAGAATTCCTCCAAAGGAGTATAGTACTTGTTAATTGGTAGGTTGAGGATGTTGTTGTTCTATATGATGGAGTGGGTTTCAGAGGCAGTTAATCACATGGAACTCTGGTGACTTAGTGGTAAGAAGCTATGCTGCAATCCCAAAGGTATGTGGTTCAAAGCCACCAGCTGCTCCTCAGGAGAAGGATGGACATTCTCCTCTCATGCACTTAACTACCTCAGAAAACCCACTGAAGGGTCAGCTATGAGTCGGTTCTGATTAGACAGCGCAAAATAACAACAAATCACATGGGAGGAGAGTGTGCATTTTCTCCAAGAGAACTGCTGGTAGATTCGAACTACATCCCTTTGCATTAACAGCACAATTCCCTACCACTAAGCCACCATTGCTGTTGTTGGCTACCACTGTTGCTGCGTGCCCTCAAGTCAGCAGGTTTTCAGAGGCAGTTAATCGCATGGGAGATTACCCATCCTTCATCTGCAGAGCAGCTGAATCCCACATGCCTTTGGGATTGCAGTGCAGCTTCTTAACATTAGGCCACTAGAGCTCCCTCGTAGGTAGAGAGTAAGAAGAAATCTCTCTCCTAGGACTTACTGAAAAGGGGAGAAGGGTGGCAGAGAAATTATGGTTTTAATTGTCACAAATCACCTTGGACTTGAGAAGAGTGGTGTTTCAGGTAAACAATGACTAAATCTGTTCCCATGTGTAGTGTTTCTACTCCACTCACTCTCCAAGCCAAAGCAAATGATTGCTTTAATTTTAAGAACCCTATCATCTTGAGAGATGCCCCCAGTAACAGATAGGTTTTATATTTAAAGATTCTCTGCTTGTAGCCCAGACATGAGAAGGCTGTGATCCTATTTCAACCTAAGCAAACAGTCCTGGGTCTCCTCAGCCAGAGCCCAGAGGCACTGGTGGCCAAATTCTTTGCATAGCTGGGTCCACTGCTATGACGTGTGGCTGCCAGGACCCTGGAACACAATCAGCAGGCCCATCCTGAACCCGTGCAATGACCTATTATGAAGGCCAGTGCCCCGGCCCAGTGGGCAGAAAGCCCTGACCCCACTCCCAGTTACTTGAGTCCTTCTGCCACTGATGTTACAGTAGACAGTAATGAGGGAAAACCACTAGTGAGTGAAAAGCAGCTATGAAGTCAGCTTTGGAGCGCACACAGTCACCCTTCAATAATGATCTAGTTAGCACAAAAACCAGTTTTGAAGGAACAAAGAAGGACCGTATTTGCCTTTTGTTAAAAAAAAAAGTCCAGGGTTTATTACTAAGAGGGGCAGGGCTGTGTGTTTCATTTCTTTTTTTTTTTTTTAATTTGAGTGAAAGTTTACAAGTTGTATTGGTCTCATTTAGTAATTCATATGAATTACAGGAGGATATAAAGGTAAATCAAAGATGACTTGGGACCAGGGCTCTGCTCCAGTGTCTCGCTTTGTCAAAGTCAGTGTCTGAGTCCAAATTCCAAAAAGGCATTGAGGTTGAAATAAACTCATAGCTGAGCCTCCAGCGGATATTTGGAGGCTGAATTTGGCCCAGGATAGAGCAGGGTTCAGAGCTGTTGTACACAAGGTCATGATGAGTCGGAGTCAAAACAACAGCAGATAATAAAAATAACAAAGGTAAGAAGCTGTGCTGAAATCCCAAAGGCAAGAGCTTAGAATCCATGCACACCCATGTTTATTGTGGCTTTGTTCACAATAGGAAAGAGTTGGAAACAACCTAAGTGCCCATCAACAAACGAATGAATAGAGAAGCTGTAGTATATTCACACTATGGGATACTACGCTGCATTCAAAAACAAGGAACTCATGAAATATTATGCAAAATGGGTAACCCTGGAGGACACTATGCTGAGTGAAATATCTGTCACAAAAGGACAAATAGATATATATCTCTGTATGATTTCAATAAAGGAGGCTTGATTGGGGAAAAAAAAGGACAAACATTGCATAGTGCCACTGTTGTAAAACGGGACTGACCTTGGGGTTGGAAAGAGACTGAGAAAGATGGGATAAATTGTGTATATTGCATTGAAACAGAAGAGGGAGATAACTGTTTAAAAGGTATATATTATTAGGTATTATTGTCATGACAGGAGTCTAGAATGAAGGCTGCATAGTGGAGTGGACTTGAGGGGAGGGATTGTATAACAATGAAAGAAATTTTCTTTTACTTTTTAAAGAGAAGAGCGAACTGGGGGTTAGGGGTGGGCAGGGAGAAAAGTGCAACAATGAATGAATGGAAATCCAAAGTCTCTGTAAACTTTCATTAAAATTAGTAATAATTTTTTTTTTTTTTAAAAAGAGGTTAGAATCCATTAGCTACGCCTCAGAAAAAGGATGGACAGTCTCCTCCAAGGCTGCTACTGCCTCTGAAAACCCACTGCTGGGTTAGCTATGGGTCATTTCAGAACCTACAGCACTCAACAACCAAAAATCCTAAGTGGGAGGAGATTGCTCATCTGTGTAGCCACAGGTGGATTCGAACCACCAGAGAGCCACTCTCTAATGAGGCCACCAGACTGAAGTGAGGAAAAGGCCCCAAGCCACCCCTGTGAAGAGGGTCATGTGCACACAGTGAGGCCTCTTGCAATAAAAACAAAGACCATGCCAAAGCCTTTAGGGCTCAGGAGAGGCTACTCTGTGGGGCCGGGGCTCAAATGTCCCTGCTTTCTCTCCCCTGCACAGGAACTGCTTTCCCAAACAGACTGCAGCCCAGGTCACCCTCAAGGCCATCTCGGCACACTTCGACGACTCAAGCGGGTCCTCGCTGAAGAATGTCTACTTCCTGCTCTTCGACAGTGAGAGCATCGGCATCTATGTGCAGGAGATGGCCAAGCTGGACACCAAGTAGCCGAGCCAAGGGTGGACCCGGCCTCGAGGGTTTCACCTTCCCCAGGAGAGCAGAGGGTGCTGGGGGCTGGGGTATGGGAGTCCCACCCCGCCACCCCACATTTTATATTCTGGTGGAAAAGGCCTTGATGTGTAACTAGCCAGGTCTCCAGGAGGGATTTCTTTCCATGTGTTTTCCTCTTATTCTTTTAAAACGTTTTTTTAAAAAAAAAAAAAAAACAAACCAGACCTCGTTTTAGATTTCTAGCGTTCACTTTTACACAAGTGCATACACACACAAAAATCTTTTCAAAATTCCTTCAAGCTTCTGTTTCCCCCCCCCCCCCTTTTTTTTTCCTTTCCCAAGAGAAGAAGCGACGGGCTCTGTTTGTTGTCTGTGATCTGTGATGGAGAGAAGATTGTAAAGATACTTCACTGGTGCTTTTCTGTTTGTGTTCCTCCCCCAACCTTTACCCCCAATAATATCTGTAAGTACTCCTGAAAAGTTTTTGCTTCAGTCTTTTTTTGTTTTGTTTTTTAAAGAAAATGAAAGAGAAAAAAAAAGATCCAGTGTCTTTCTTACAGTGTATTTATTATTGCAGCATGTTCCTCAGATTGGAAAACTGTATCCCTCATGAGAGGCTACTTCTAGAATGTAATAAATGAACGGACTAGGCCTGTTGCTGAAGAGTTAGACTCACACAAGGGCATGGAGGATGGCAGCCCCTGAATAGTCTCCCATACTGAGTCACCCCATTTCCAAGCTGAAGAGTCTTTTCTAGAAGGAACTCCCTTTCCCCCACTTGACCAGCTACCTATCAGGAATCTTACACGTTTGTGGCCTTAAAATGTAATTTGTGGCATTCAGCAAGTCATTCATTCCTCCTCTCATGAGGTGCCCCCCTCGGATTGCACATCCTCCCCTCTGCCTTCACTTCGCTACGCCTCTGGACATCTGCTGTACTTGAAGGATGCTGGGCCGTCCCTATTAACAGAAACTTTATGGCCCCACCTAAAGGGGCACACATCATACCTTCCATGTACTTCAGGCTAGACTCCCACCACCCTCAGCCCCAGTTTAGAGACCACCATAATGATGTTTCTGAGACAGAAACTCCTGTTCTGGAAGGAGAAGCCCCCATCAGCAGGACCTCTAATACGTGCCTTAGGTATAGTGGTCATTTTTAGTCACCTAGGCAAGGAAAGGAGACAGATCCTGGGCCAACAGGCTAAGAATCCTTGTGAGACCGGTGGCCCAAGGACTCTGGCCAAGTACTCACGAGGCCACCAGTAAAAATAGGTCAGAAGGAACAGCACCAGGAGGGGTAGACCATGAGTTTCTTCAGTTGAACTAATCAGTTACTGATTCGGATTTAAACTATGTCGTCTGAGAGTGGGGAGCCCTGGTGGTTTACAGCTGTTAACCAGAAAGGTTGGTGGTTTGAATCCACCAGCTGCTTTGCTAGAGTAAGATATGGCAATCTGGTTCCAGGAAGATTTACTGGATGAGTTCCGCTCTATCCTACAGGGTATTAAAGTTGGGATTAACTTGAAAGTAATGGAGGTGGTCGTACAAAACCGGGAGCTATTAGAAACTGTCTTCTAAATACACTATTACCAGATGCTGTCAAGTTGATTCCAGCCAATGGAAAAGCGGTATGTATCATAGCAGAACTGTTTTCCAGAGTTGTCAGTGGCTGACATTCTGCAAGTTTATTACTTTCTTCTATGAAGCTTTTGGGTGGTCTTGAACCATCAACCCTCTGATTAAGTCAAGTATTTGGTTATATTTGTATGACTCACTCCCCCAAATAAAGTACACACTGAGACAGTCTAGCCAACTGGCTGGTCCTTTGGTTAAGTGACATTGGGGTTGTCTGAGAAAACACATATGCAAAGTTTCCTGCGGGATGCCTGGAGTTCAGCTGGAGGACCGTCACTTACAAGTAGGCCCACGGCTGCAGCCTAGAAATGCCGAGTCTCCTTCCGGACACTCCTCTGACTCTGACCCAGATCTCAGCCCACCACTTCAGCTCAGCTGTCTCCTTAAACACCCCCAGTGGCTGGACAGCTGGACTTTAGTCTCAACTCTTTCGTATTTTAAAAACACAATATTATGATGGATTAGCCCAGGAAGGAAGTTTACCTATCTTAAATCTAACCTATTATGTATAATCATGATATAAAACTCGGAATACCCAGTGTCTCAAGGGTAAGACTGTAAGGACTATGCTAGAGGCAGCTTTTCAATGGAGGTTCTTACTCAAGGTTTAGAATAACAATGCTTCCAGGTCATTTCAGCAGCAGGCTGGAGGTCTGGCTCTGCTGCTCACAGTTGTGGGCCCAGGACATGCACGTTCTCCTCTCTGAGCTGCAGTCTCTGTATCTGTGTCGTGAGCCTGATGAGCCCATGTTACTAGGCCTTTTATGAGGATAGACACAGATGACTGGAAAAGCCTAAGGTAAACAGTAAATCTTTTCCTTACGCCTAGCTCTCATTTCTCATTCCTTAGGGGCTTGCTCAATACGTCATTTCTTTAATTAGACTCAGGGAGGAAGAAGTGATAACGGTGAGTATAATGTGTCAAGTTCCTACTTCACCTGTAGAAAGGAGTGACATGAACACAAACTAAAACTGTGCTTCATATTTCCTGGGTCTTCACTTTTGAGACCTGGTATGTGACACAGTGACTGGCATGTTATCGTTAGGTGCCATCAAGTCGAGTACAACTCATGCAAGCCAGCCAACACAGATCTGAACCCTGTCCTATCCTGTGCCATCCTCACCTGACACTTCTTGAGTCCATTGCTACAGTCACTGTCTATCCATCACATTGAAGGTCCTCCCCTCTTTCACTGATCCACCTGTCCATGCCTGATGTCCCTCTCCAAGGACTAGCCTCTCCTAACAACACACCCGAAGTGAGACAAAGCTTTGTCATCTTTGCCTCCTAGGAGCATTCTGGCTCCACTTTCTCCTCCACCACCACAGCTCAAAGGCATTAGTTCTGCTGTCATCCTTCTTCATTGTCCAGCTCTTTGGTATAAGTAATGGAAAAGACCATGATACAAATGAAGCACATTTTAAGTGTTTAAACTGATGTCATTTTTAAAAAACACACAAAACTGACATCATTGTCTCTCAGTAATTTTGAGAGGTTCCTGACAACAGACTTGTTCAATGTGATACATCTCCTGACCTCCACATAGAAGTTCTTAATAAATTATTTTTTAATCAATTAATGAATAGGAGATTTTCAAGATAAATATATTTAATTTTAAAATAATTAGGCTACTAGTGAATTCCGCCTATTGGTCCAGTGGTAAGAATCTTTGTTTTCTTGACACTGAGATGCAATCCATATCAAAGGCTGCATTCCTTTATCTTCTGCAACAAGTGCTTCAAGTCCTCCTCACTTTCAGCAGGCATGGTTGTGTCATCTTCATAGATCTTGATGAGTCTCCCTCCAATCCTGATGTCATACTCCTCTTTATAGAGAGTCCAACTTCTTGGATAATTTGCTTGATATACAGATTGAATAGGTATGGGGAGAGAATACAACCCTGCCTCATTCCCTCCTCAATTTTAAATCATGTAATATTTCTCTGCTCCATTCACACAACAGCCTCCTGGTCCAAGTGTAGTATCCCAGATGAGCACAATTAAGTGCTCTGGAAGTCCCATTCCTCTTAATGTCAGCCACATCTTGCTATGATCCACACAGTCAAATGCCTTTGCATAGTCAATAAAGCACAGACAGACATTTCTTCTGGTATTCCTTACTTTCAGCCAGGAAAAGTTTTAGTTTGAGGACTAAAGTGCATCTCATTCAAACCATGGTCTTTCCAATCACTTGCTATGTATCTGAGAGCTACTAGACAATGAATAAGGAGGACAGAAGAAGAGTTGACGCCTTTGTGCTGTGGTGTTGGAGAAGAGCACTGAACATCCCATGAATGGCCAAAAGAACAAACTGATATGTCTTGGAGAGGGTGCAACTGGAGTGCCCTTTGGAGGCAAAAATGAGGAGACCTCGCCTCACATACTTTGGGCATGTTGCTAGGAGGGGCTATTCCTTGGTGAGGGACATGATGTTGGGAAGGATGGAGGGTTGGAGAAGGAGAGGAAGACCCTCAGCTAGGTGGATTGACATGGTGACTGATGCAATGGGCTCGTCTGTCAGGAAGTGTGAAGATGGCACAGGGCAGGGTTCAGATCTTTTGTTCATAGGGTCGCTATGAGTCATGCTGTACTCGACAGCACCTAACAACAACTAAGTGACAACTGCCCATTTAACTTGGATGAAGTAAGAGATATAAGCTTCCTTGCTCTGATGTGACAGATAAAAAAATCAACTCTCCACCCAGCTCCCCTATCTTAGCTGGTCTCACCCTGAAGTCTGTCATTTCTGCCTGTGGTGTCAAAGGTTTATTGTTCAAAATGTCTTTCCTAGCCACTGATTAACTGTTTTGTGCTTAAGTATTTCTTGTAGATAGGATTAGGGCAAGATACAAGACTCACTCTACTAAAGGCTAATATGAACCCATGAGAAATAAATGTTAGCTCTCTTTTGGGGATGTCCACTATCCAGCTACACTGCAGCTGACCGTGTACAATGTTCAATAGTCTCTGCAAAACTAGCCTGCATACCCATAGTCATGGGAGCCATTCCCCTGACGGGTCTGAGTCTCAAGGAGACCCTCCAGCAAACAAGTGAAACATTGAAGCCAAGGGACCCAGAAGAGTGAGGGAACTGAATGAAGGACTGTTGATGTCAGAAATCCCAGAGTTATTCAGCAAACCAAACATTCAGGGCACTGTTGACTACACTTCTTGTAACAGCTCTGCTGCTATTTTTGTCGTTATGTGCTGTCGAGTTGCTTGCAACTCATAACAACCCTATGTACAAGAGCCTATCCTAGCCCTGCTCTATCCTGTGCCAACCTCACTATCTCCGACATACTTACTCCCACTACCTGAATCGATCCATCTCATCGAGAGTCTTCCCCTCCTGCACTGTCCCTCCACCCTCCCAAACATGATGTCCCTCTCCAAGGACTGGTCTCTCCTTGCAACATGCCCAAAATATGTCAGACAAAGCTTCAGAATCCTTGTCTCCAAGGAGCAGCTCAGTTTCACCCTCTCCAGGACAAACCTGTTTGTTCTCCTAGCAGTCCATGGTATATTCAACACTCTTCTCCAGCACCACAGCTCAAAGACATCAATTCTATCATCCCTAGTCACTGTCCAGCTCTCTGATGCATAACACACAACTGTGAAGACTATGGCCTGCATCAGGTGCACCTTAGTCTCCAGCCTGACATCATTGCTCTTCAGTACGCTGGAGAGGTCCCTGACAGCTGACGTTACCATGCAATTCGTCTCTTGGTTTCCTGGCTGCTGGTACCAAGAGTGTTGATTGTGGAACCAAGCACTATTCTATTATTCTTAGCAGAATGAAGTATGAATACACTGCCCTTACCAAGGGGACACCAGTCAGCTAGGTCTTGCCTCTCTCTACAGAGTTCTGAATGTCATTCTCCCTCCCCACAAAACACACACGTCAGCAAAGCCTGGGGCAGAGAATGCTGGCTATGGGATTAGTGAGGACCACAGCAGTGTTTCAGCAGCTGACAAGCCAGCAAAGACACAGCAGACCTTTCCAAACTCAGATGGAATCCCCTTGAGGGGTGTAATTTTTAATTCCCTTTTTTTCTCCAGTTTTAAAAATTGGTTTTAGGAAAGTAGTGTTTCAGGTCAGTACGCCATTGGCATCTGGCTCCAAAATGAGTTTAGCCCTTTGGCACCTGTTGGACTAGTCCCGTCTGTCCAGCAGTTCATTCGGTGTCAGCGGTGAACCTCGGCCCTCACCCAGTGCCCCCATTAGGGTGGGGACTGTCTCATGGTTTTCCAGCTCGTGGAGATGAACAGGTCCCGGCTCTTGGCCAGCCGGACCATAAGCCGACCCACATAGAAACCACTAATCTGTCCAACGCCATCATTTCTCCCCATGGACAGAAGGAACGTCAATCCACCTGTGGAGAGAAGCGACACAGGCACAAATTAAGTCATGCTTAATGTTCCTGGGCCTTTGGTTTCAGGATAAGGAAATGGGTACACCTGTCAGGAAGGTAGGTGAGCCCCTGACTCAGTCTTAAAGAGCTCTGAGGAGGGGTCTCTGTCACCAATTCGGATTTGGCTGTAGTGACTGGTCATCTTCAAGCCTGCAAGGCTCCCTCACACTGAGGAATGTGGGCTCCCTTACCAGGTTTGTAGGCCTTGAGGGGCCTCCGTTTCATGGAGTTGACAATGTTGGCCGTGGCGATGTTAGCATGCAGGCCAGCGAGGTAGGCCATCTTGGGCTCCTTCAGGTCAGCACAGTCCCCAATGGCATAGACGTTGCTGTAGCCGTCCACCTGCAGGTACTCATTCACTCGCAGAGCGCCATTGCTGGCCAGCTTACTCTCTACAGGGCAAAACAAACAAGCTGTCACTGTAAAAAGCCACCAGACTGAGGGGAGGAGCTCCAGAAGCTGGGCAAGTCACCTTCTAAAGGCTGCACCCTCGAAAAGCAGCTGTTCTCCCACTTTACTCCTGCCTGCTGACCCCCACTCAGAACTCTTCCAGCAAGGAAGGGCTGTCATCGTTGTGTGCCATTAGGTCGGAACCAAGCCATAGCTGACCCTCCAGTGGGTTTTCAGAGACAGTAAGCCACACTGGAGGAAACTGTCCATCATATGGAGAAGCTAGTGGATTTGAACCTCGTACCTTTGAGTTGCCAGCGCAACTCTACCACTAACCCATCAGAGCTCAATATGCAAATTGGTCCAAAAAAGTGTTTCCTGTTGAGTCACATAATCACCATGGAAAAGATCACCATGTCTTTCTACTCTGAAGAAGCTGGTCTGTTTGAAATGCCAGTCTTTTAGCTGCCACACCAATGCTCCTGCTTTAACTGACTTAAAAGAACGTATCTCTGGTAACGTAAAATTAGGACAGCTGGGTACTAAATTCTAGGATCTCTGTCCCTTATGAACCCTGCAGCCTCCAAAACTCCCCACACACTCTGGGACTAGCTTCAGTCTTCTAGAACTGGATAATTACTTCCTTCTATAAGTGTTTCAGCGATAATAAAATCGGCTCAAGAGAGAGCAGGGTTCAGAGCTGTTGTACACATTTGTTATGCGTCGCAGGCAATTCGATGGAACATAAACAACAACAAATGATAGGCCTCTTAAGTTGGGGATCAGGGGACACAGGGTAACCAGAGATTCCGAGGAGCCACTGAGTCTCCTGCACTGCCTTATTCGCCGGTGTGCTAAATAGTTAAATACTGAACTTAAAGAACATGAGACCATATTATTGGCCACACTCTACAGTGGTGATAAAAAGATTAAGTGGTCAAATATTTGGATGGTGGCTAAGTACAGCAGTAACTCGCTGACAGGGAATTTCTTCTGTGTTCATCCAACAGAGATCTTTTTCGTCTCAGAAGCCTGTTCCCCACCCTCATGATACATCTTGAAGGATATGTACATGTACAGCCAAGCACAATCAATGAGTGCATCTGAATTCCAAAATCAATCTCCATAATAGTCTATGTGTTTCCTACTGCCAAAGGGGCCCTTTAGAGTAGTGAGAGAAGATCTTCACCCTGAA